CATTGTTAATTTTAATTTGAATTCTTTAAAAAAAAAAAGTGTCATTGTTAATTTTAATTGGGTTTGGGGATATCCTATTTAATTTCTTTTTAACTTTTGTAGTATGTGTTTCTTTTAATGATGTTGTACGCCGCCCTGAGTCTTTGGGAGAAGGGTGGCATATAAATCGAATAAACCTCGACCTCATTTAAGTCATAACATTTCAAGCTTCCATGGACCACCTGAGATGACATCACAGACCCGTCAAGAGCCTGCGGGCCATAATTTGAAAACCACTGTCCTAATTCTCTTTATTGCAAATATTGTGATCATGAATGAAGCTACCGACACAAAGATAATTTTCCGTCTGCGTTGGAAGCACCCTGTTTTAATTTCCATCTTTCTGAGTTACTGTAATGGACACTTGGTGGTTCACTCAGGTATATTAGGCAACTGCTATATGTTTTTTTAATAGATCTTTGTGGCCAGAGATTCTTGTTTTCTGCCTTATCTACAAAAAAGAACGGAAGCAGAGGGAAATGGGTGTATTTGCAGTAATTTGACGCCCCATCTTAACTTGTCCTTGGCAAAAATCTAAGCAACTTTATAGAATGGTAATAGTAAAGAGACTTCACAGAGTAGCAGCCTAGTTTTATCTGTTTCCTGTTTTATTTAAATACACAGTGCCACTTTTAGAACATACACATGTTAAATCTAGAGATGTTTTTCATGTTAAAAAATAAAAAATAGTCATAAAAAGTCATACCCATCATATGACCTACTGACATTGAAAATACCCAGCTGGCTAGAGTAAACTTTTATTAAGTCACTATGCATGAATCTATTGTCAGGTCAGCATTTTTGAGAAATAGCTGATGTAAGGTTTATAATGCATATACAAAATCAGCCTTGGCAAGAATGTAAAATTGGGCTTAATATAGATACGGTACTTGCCATAAAAGCAAGCCATGTAATAAAATAGTCTCTGGAATATTGAAAATTAATGCACTCAATTACCTTCACAACTCTTCTTATCAGGCCCAAGCTCATAACCCGGATCACAAGCACACTGATAACTGCCCAGCGTATTCACACATCGTTGTTCACATCCACCATTGTCCAATTTGGCACATTCATCTTCCTCTGAGAAATAAAAATAGAATTGCATTCAAACATAAACATATGTCTTTTTATATTGTATTAAAGTAACAACAAATTTGCATTTATAACTCAAACTGTTTGATGTAAGCATTTTCACAAAGCAGGATACATCTAATGACTGAGAAGATATGCATATCCCTTTAAGCATTGGCCTTATATTGTGTTAGTTACAGTTGATTAGACCAAACCAGAAAATGAACTCTGCAATTGAAATTATTTTTATTGTGATTGGCTATAGTAACAGAATCTTGTTGTGCTGTACCTACTCCCTCCTTTTATACCCCAGGAAATCAGAGAGGTCATGGGGCACAATGGCTCAGTGGCTAAGACACTGAGCTTGTTGATCAGAAAGGTCAGCAGTTTGAATCCCTAGCGCCGCATAATGGAGTGAGCTCCTATTACTAGTCCCAGCTTCTGCCAACCTAGCAGTTCAAAAGCACGTAAAAAT